CCCCAAAACCGCAAAACCCCAAAACCCCAAAACCCCAGTTTGAGATAGGATAAAGTTAATTTGTAAATGTTTTACATTGAAATACATAGCTTGAGGATAGTTATATATTGATATAATTTTTTGTTATGAATTAAGCTAAGCTTCATGAATTCCTAGTTTACTGTTGCCTCTATCGCTATTCTATGCATACTCATTTACTCATAACAATCCATCATATCTATCCATCCCTTCTTATATATCATTAAATTACTCTTTATAGATTATAGGGTCTTAGAGAGCTAACAATTTAGCATCCTCTGTTAAGAGCACTTCATTTAGAGTTAATAATAGTCTGCTCTGAAAGAGTGCACAGCTTTTACAATTAGTCCAAAAGATCTTTGATTTTTACTTTGTTCTACTCTACTTAAATCTAATGCTAATGCTAATCAGTGGTAGTGTTCTATGTAGGGATTGTAGACTAAGTTATCTGGTTTGTTTATTAATCGACTTTAGTGCCTGAAGATGTGGGAGTATAATCTTCAGCTATATACTTTGAAGACTTTAAGATTTTCCAGTTATATGAGGAACTCTCCTTAGCATTAAAATGAGGCTGATGCTTCTAGCCTTGATTTGACTAGAAATTCTCCTTGTCTAAGCAGTTTAACTTGAATTCGTACAACTCAAGAAATTGTCTACTAAGATGAATTTAATGAAACTGAGCTTGTTAGAACTTGTCCTTAATGAATTCTTTAACTATTGTTGGCATCTTAATATATCTTTGGAGAGTATTTTGATAGATATTTTAAAGAGGTATATCTTTGTTGTTGTCCTTTTACGGAGATGGTGTGAACTCCAAAGCTCTAGTCTCATTTTCTAGTTCTATTGATGAAAGAGAAAGCTGTTGCTATTTCTATTTATTACTCTCACTTAGACCAGCTATTTCAGCTTAGACGGCTTTATCTTGCATTTAATTTTAAGTGACTTCCAAAAGTTTCATCCCACTTGAATCAATAGGATGGTAGTTATTGGGCTTTATGTCTGAAAGATCCTGCTACTTGTCTGATATTATTGGAGACAACTTCTGATCATCATTCATCATGAAATTGTCTATCTAAGTGAAGTGAGATGCCAAGTTTTTCTGGGCTGAAGAGCCTATAATGTTAGTATAGACTGCTGCATTGTTTTTCTTATCAGATGGAGTATTTGCTTGACCTATCTAGTTAAATTTGAGATTGAATTGGTGCTAAGCACTTTAGGAGTAATCATTGATAGAGTCCTGGGCCCAGGCTTGGGTTGAAAAGGATAACTCAGAGCTTTTCTGAGACAACTGATCATTCATGATCCGTGTTGGAATCTAGTAAGTTGAGTTGTGACTTACTATCTAAGGCAGCATCATTGAGATTGCTGGATGAACCTTGCAAGCTTCAAATGTGTACTTAAACATCTCAAGCAAGAACTTAACCTAGACTTCAGTTCCATCTTCTGAGATCGAAAGGAATTCTCTTAACTTATGGCTTTGAAGCTTCAGGCTTTGTCTGATTCGACTTGAGTTTAGCTTGGATATGGACTTGCCTAAATTGTTCTTGGTAAAAGTAGGGTCTATAATGTTCATATATTTGGTATTGATAGATTTCTTGGCTGCGAGATTCATTGCTGCTGAGTCAGAAAGTCTCACGCTAGAGAATTAGATCATGAGTTAATTGAGTTTATCTGGAGATACCAATAACTTTCTATTCTGGTAATCCTTGTTATGAATTCTTTCAAGCATTGCAAGTCTATCCATGTCAAATTGACACTACAGTAATTAATCAGAATTCAGACATTAAGTAAAAGAATATAGACTTACATCCTTGAGTCTATCATAGAAGTTGACTATTCTGACAGGGCCGTAGATTGTGACAAGGTTTTTATCCCAGTCGAATAGACTCCAAACTTTGAAAAATTTACGAAACACATCCATCGGAGTGTGCAACTCCTCATTGAAGTTGTTGAAAATGAACAGCACCATTACATATAGAGCGTAAGTTGCCATGCATGCAGCATATGACCCTAGTATCGAGGCTTCGTAGGTAAACCAAGCCTTTAGTAGGATGATAGACTTCTTCATAAGCTAGTCTTTCCCAACCTTCTTGGCCATGTAGTTCATAAAGTATAGAGTGCATATTCCGCCAACCTAAATCAACATAAATCTTATTGTCTTATTCTGGGGAGAATGGATTAAAGTGCAAACATGCAATCCGCCACTTACCTGCTTGATTGAAATATCTACAAATGTGTTTTAGAAATTGAGTTTGATGATTTCAACATCTGCCTGGTCAATAAGGACTAAGCTCTTGATCATGTTTTTGCCCTCTGGGGTTTCTCCGAATCTCTCGATTGCCTTTTTAATTCTGCTTAAAATTAGACAAGTCAAAAACAGAGTTAAGAATACTTACTCTTTTAGTTAATTTAGAGCTGAGTCCTAATGTCCTTGAGAACCCATTAGGTATTCACTTTTAATAACAGTGATGTCAATGTCAGAGTCAGGCAAGTAGGTTTTGAGTGGGTCTGAGCCATATCTTATGACCATCACAGACTATTTGTCACCTATTATCATCACTTTACAAAACTTTCATCTAAATTACCATATGCTTGCTCAATTAAGTTCTTCAATTTCATGAATATCATCTGCCTCTTATCCTCACTCTCCTGGGTGGGACCGATCTTATTTAGAAAGTAGTCGATGAATGCGTCCTCAGCTTAAGCCATGGGATTTCTCGGGTACTAAACTCTCGAATCAGAGTGAAAGGGATTCAGCTGGTTATAATTGTAAGTGCTCTAGACTTCTTACATTAAAAATTAATTTGAATTATTAAATTTTAGCGAATAAATTCAATGCAACTATAAATCTCAATTACTTTTAAATATTAATTGATTTCATATTTATTGTTCACTTCTTATTATTTTATAGATCTAGATTTAGGGGTTTTGGGGTTTTGGGGTTTTGGGG